CTTGAAAGGGAAGCGGCGGGGGATGGGGATGGGGATGGGGAAGGGGAAGGGAGGAGGGGCCGGTCCCGGTCCCCTCCGGGCGGCGCCAGGAGACCCACCCCGCAGCGGGGACTGCTGCGCCCCACGTCCCCTCCCCCCCGGCTGGGTTTGGGGGGGGTGCTGCTGCCAGTCCTTGCTCGCTACAACCGTGCGCCCCTCCCCCAGACAGCCCCCCCCCCAGCCGACGGCTCCCAAGCCGGAGCGCCCCCCCACACACACACTAATGGGGCGGGGAAGAGAGGTTGCAGCCCCCCCGGCGGTGCCTCGCGTGCGGAAGGGCCGGTCCCATCGGGCCAGGGTTAAGCCCCGGCTATAAATAAACGGGGGCTTTGGTGCGTAACTCTCGGTGTAAATCAAAATCGGAGCCGATCCAGGCTGCCCGCCCTGGGGGCTGCGCTCCAGCCAGGGGGCGGGTCAGCGGGGCTGGAGTCCCCGAGCCTGCAACCCCGGCCGGGCCAGGAAACTTCTCCAGGGGGCGAGCCCCTGGAGCCCCCCCGCCAGGGGATCCTCCGGGCCGGGCCGGTTCCTTCTCCCACGGATTTAGCGATAGCGCCGCCCCCTTGCGATCCCCCCTTTCTTTTGGGGGGCAGCGACTTAGCGCCCCAACACACACACCGCACTGGGGGGGGGGGCTTTCCTGCCCCTTCACTTGGCATGTTCCCGCGCGGCCGCACCTGCCTTTCCAGCTCCGCACGCCCCGGCGCTCGGAGTCCTTCCCTCCCAAAGCGAGCCCGGCTCAAGCTCGTGGGCTCGGAAGACGGGGAAGGGCGAGCTTAGCGAGCAATGGGGAGGCTACCGGAGCTGCTACAAAAAGCGTCTGACAGCATTTAAAAGATTGGCAACGTCGGACATCCAGCCTGCAGCCCGGGCGAGCGACCCTGCCGCGTCTCCTTAACGCTTCAAAAGTTATTCCGAAATCTGATGGCTGCACATCTCAGTTAGCCCGAACCGATCTGCGGGGATAGATTGCTTTGACAAGTGCAGTATCAGGACGGTGAACCCGCAAAACTCCTTCGCTTTCTATTAAGAAAACATTTTAAAAATGAACCTGGATTGTCTCGTGTGACATGAACATAACCGGGAAAGGTTCCGAAAATGTAACCATTTTCAGCCATGTTTTTACACTGCGAAAATCTATTGCATTTATTTCTTATTTTATTCGTAGTATATTCCAATACAAAACGCCTCACCTTGTGCTTTTTCTTTATTTTGCAGCGTGCCACAGGGCTATTTGCTTCAGGGTAAAGTTGATAACTTTAGTCGTACAGGGTTTCAAATCCATTGCCTTGGAGTTCAAGTCTGCTCTGTATATAGCAAAAGAAATGTTTAGCTGCATAAAAGAAATCGAAATACATTTTTTAAAATCAAAGCTAATTCTTTCAAGTGGAAAAATTAGGACCCGGGAAAGAGAATTGTAGAAAGTGGCAAACTAGTCCTCATTTTGGAAGTGCAGTCATCATGTCAAAGAGATTGTTATCAGTCTGCGTGGTCTCAGGTTATTTCCGATAAACTTTTCCTCTTTTTTTTTAAACGATTTGTGGATTTGATCTAAGTTGCATAAAATAAAAGAAATCCTAAAGCAAGAAGTAAACAAACAGTATTCTCAGTCCAGCCCTTCCCAGTGTCAAGTTCAAGATGGGTCTGTCTGGGTTTCCCCCAGACATGAAAGGTGCAGCAGAGCTCCCATCAAATTACTCACATCCTTAGAGCTAGGGGGGAAATGCTAACAGTTTACAGAGTAAATTGTTTTCTCTAGCTGAACTGTGTACACCTTCAAATGCTGCCTTCCAGTCTATGTGTGGACACAGAAGTGGTGCTGTCAACAGCACATCATATATTGTTAAATCCTGTAGCTAAGATATTACTTTTAATCACAAGCTTAGGAAGACAAAATACAATCTGTTTTTAATTCCCAATCCCCAAACTTCTGGGAAGATGGCATCTTTAATTGTTTTTATTAATTAAAAATAAGTGGGGCTGTATTTTAACTTTGAGAAAGTTAGCCAAAGCACAGGATGGTCCAAATGCAATTGGAAACAGCAGTCCACTCCAGTCTGTGCATATATTTTAAGAATTAATTGTTCACATCAACCGAGATCATCTGATACAGATGAAAAATCTTAAATATTTTGGAGGGGGAAGTGTGGAGGGAGGAGAAATTGTTTCGGTTTTTGTTTTTCGCTAGTAATTTATCAAGTTAACATTTATCTCTAAAATTCCTCAATCTTTTCCCCATTTCCTGGCTTTTATTTCCTATTCATTTCTTAAATACAGTCCCTGTTCACACTCTGCCTTCATTGCTAACCTAAAATTAAAAACCAAAAATTAAATATAAAAACATACAATCCTAAATTCCACGTATAAAGTGAAAACTGATAAATCTTCCTAAATATTGGTTATTTTTTAAAACGTTTAATTACCAACCAACAGATATTAGTTTTCTAGAATTGTGTATATGCTCGGTTAGGATGTTCCTTTGGCCAAAGAAAATTAAAATCCAGGTTAGAGTTTTATTACAAAATAAAAATTGTATTTCATATGTTACTGATTTTAATGGAAACAATTCATCAGCATCTCTCTACAACTCATTAGGTTTGAAAAATATATTTGCCAAGGAATTTCTATAGTGTTTCTAAAAAACTACTGAAGTCATCATATGATTGGCTATATAGAATAATGTTGATAACTGTGTATTGGGTTATATACAGCAAAACAAATCAAATTTTCCCCCTTTCTGTAACTCGGATAAACTGTAATTCTTTTAAGAAGCACTTACTTTAATCTGAAGTAAACACATGGAACTGGCTGTTTTACTCACCCCCCAGCTGTTTCAGATTCATGCTAAACCTCTTAAAAGCATATATATAGATACAGAGATAGAGAGAGATGGGTGTGTATATCTATCCATCCATCTATGGAGACACATGCATGCCTTTCTGCATAGAGTAAAAAGGAGCCCCACACAAAGATAAAACTCATTGCATTTACCTTCGGATGTTAAATATGCAGCACTGGGAGGCCTAAATGCAGCTCTTCTTCTTTGAAGTGCAAGATAGAGACATGTCATGGTCACTCACAGGACAGATCAGTAATATTTGATTCACTCGCAGAAAGTGCAGTAACACACATATGAAGCTCGAGGTGAAAACAAACCAAAGAGATGTGGGGGCGGGGACAAGGAAAAACAACAACGACCCTCATTCCCCTATTGAAGGAAACACTGTAGATTGCTAGCCTGCAATAGGGAAAACAATTCCTATCAAGAATGGGGATGAGATACAAACACCTTGATATGTGGTTCCTCTGCCAGGGCTGGGTGGAAAGTAGTTGACAAAGCAATAAGGAAATACAAGACAGTGGTTCAAAAACTATTCGATTGTGTTCTTTCAAAAACAATAAACTTTTAATGCTAAAGCAGTTATAACCAAAAACTGTACAGACTTTTGTAATTTTTTTGTTTGTTTTTTGTTGGTTTTTTGTTTTGTTTTGTTAGAAAACACTTTTCCCCCCCATAAATATTGTTCAGTTCCCGGCACTTCGTATCAATAATTAAATTACAAACGATAAATATGGCATCATGGATATGTATTTACAAAAAAAGTTATTACAAAAAGGCAACTGTTTTACTAAACGGTCACAATCTGGGTAGAATAACACCACAGCCTCATCTTGAAAAAATACTGGACGAACCCATCAGACGAGAATACATTCACAAGTATAATGCTTTGAGAGAGAGAGAGAGAGAGAGAGTGAGAGAGAAAGAAAGAGAGAGAGAGAGGTTCAAGACATAACAGGACTTTGGCACGGTTTAAGAATGTGAGTTTAAACAATCACCACTAAGGCGAAGGAGAATTTTCATCCTCATGTCAGCATCCCACCGAAGGAAGAAAAAGCCAAAAAAAAAAGACAATAAAAAAATAAAAAACAGTGTTCAAATGAAGGGAGAAGGGGAGGCGATTGGAAGAGGGAAGAGAAAAAAAATCAAAGAAATTACTGCAAATGCCAAAACCAAACAAAAAAAATCCAATCCTGAGAAAAGGACATAGCTAGTCCAGCGTCTGGAGCTTGCAAAAAAATTAAAAACCCTTTCCTGGATAATTGCAATGAACTGGATGTAGCCCTGTACGGTTGTTTGCCTGAAAACTCCATTTCCGTGTGATTGATTTTCAGTTTTCCTTTGAATTCATTTGGTCCAGTCTATAGTTAGGTTGCTTGGTTTGTCCTTAGACGTACCATTCGTTAAAATTGGGTGGAAGTCCGGGGTTGTGGCTTGTGTTACTTTGAACTGCTGATGGCGGACTTTTAGTAGAGTCTTTACTGTTTGCAGAACTTAGAGCGGGCGGAGTGGACGATTCATAACCTGAACTGGCCGCTGGGGAGGAATCTGACCCTTGCGATTCATGAACCTAAAAATGAACAGGTAAAACATGATAAATATAATGTCACACTGATAATACTCGGTCAAAATAGCAGAGTTCCAACACTACAAAGAGCGCAGGTAAGGTAAATATTTACACTTCCTACGTGATAATACAGACAACAAATCATAAATTATTCGGGGAATGGAAAACTTATCCATGCAGCTGTGATACTGTACATTTTAAAGCAAGTTTTCTCCCTCCCCCTTCGTTACTGACAATCTGCAAAGATTTTTTCCCACCATTTATGCCAGCTAGTTCTCAGATTGTGATTGTGGAGATGCCAGGTATTGACTTGGACAGATCGTTTAAATATGTTCAGCGTGGGCTGTTGATGTCAACGTTTTAAAAACATGCCAATAATTTCTTGGCCAGTAATCGTTAGTAGCTACATGTCACTCACTGAAGAACTGTATAACATTTTTTTTCTATCCGGTCTGGGGAACAAGAAAATAAATAATGCAATTTACCCAAACGACTGTTATTACTGAAAGGGCCTAGCTATCAATTACAGCCTGAACCGTGAGATAAGGGCGAAAATACACAGTTCTGCTGATAATTTGTATCAATCGGAGACGAATGTAAAATGCTGTAACATAAATCTTTCAGAATGGGTGAATTGTGCCATCCTAAAGCAGCATCGATCCTCGTTCAAACGTAGGCTAACAGGGAGGAAAAACAGGCTCCGAGATGATATTTAGTAACAGTAAAGCGATCAAGAGTTAATTACCTTCATGTGTTTCCTAAGAGAGCTGGGGTGGGTGTAAGACTTGTCACACACTTTACAGATATAAGGCTTGTCTGAAGTGTGAACATGCATGTGCTTCTTTCTGTCACTACTGTTCGCAAAACGTCTATCACAGCCTTCAAATTCACACTTAAAAGGTTTTTCACCTGCAAAATTCAGAAAGGGTTAAAGGACGCTACAGAGGAAAGGTTCACTTTGATTCCCGCTAGCGGATCGATCACGTTGGCAACTCGCTTAAAACAATTAATTTGATGCCGAGTGGAAGACAGACACTCTCTTGGCTTTCGCCCGTAGTCTCACAAACCGTTTTCCTTCCATGGAAATACACCAAGCATCGACACTTTTATTTCTTTTTCCCTTAATTATTTAAGTTTTATTTCCCTTCAACCCTCCTTTCCCAAGCTTTACCCTTCAAACACCTCGGTGGAGGTAGTATGCACACACACATACACACAAAAAAAGGATCAGACAATAGGATTTGTTACGTTACAGTTAAATTCAATCCGTCCTTTGTTACTTTTAATTTGCCTCTTTCAAATGCAACGGTTGTGCTAAGCGAAGTGTTAAAGGCAGACTACCAGTACTTGATGTTAGAATCGGGCGAGGGGGGCGGATCTAGATAAATTCTGGAGCAACAGACAGTTTTACAAGATGTGCTCAACAAGAAGGAAAATGTGTGGGTTTCCTGCCTTTTCTAGTTTTACTTCACTTCTGTGGAGATCTGAATTGAAGACAGAGCTCCAAATAAAAATACTTTGACAAAAGTATCACTGATTTAATTAGGAGATGTGCCAATCAAGACTAAAAAAGAACGGAAGTAACCGAAAATTAGATGGAATTAGCATTTGTATGGTTTCCTTAACCGAATGTATGCAGACAGCTAAATCGTATGTAAAGCAATCCACACAAAACAATTTCTCTTTGCCTCATATAAACCCCCAAACCGAGCCAACAAAAACCGGACGAAATCTTCTGTCTAGCGAGGCTATAAAGAAATAGGTAATTGCTCTTCTTGGACTGAAATTTACAAGCGCGTGGAACATGCGGATGTTAAACTGCCCGAACTCACAGAGTGCGAAGTTTTAAAGAACCGCGAACAAAATATAACTTAGCTCCGAACTGGGGAAAGTAGCATTTTATTCCCACTCCCGCTTTTCGGTCTGGCGCGGTGGGATCGATGAGGGGAGCATTTGGATTTGAGGGGGTTTCTTTCATTCCCACCGTTTCATAATTCATGCACCCCGTTTTTCGTCCCCCTCCTTACCTGTGTGCGTCCTTTTGTGGATCTTCAGATTCTCGGACCTGGCAAAGATTTTCCCGCAGCCTGGGAACGGGCAAGGGAATGGCTTTTCCCCCGTGTGAACCCGAATGTGGTTCACCAGTTTGTATTTCGCCTTGAAGGACTTGCCTTCCCTCGGACACTCCTCCCAGTAGCAGATGTGGTTGTTCTGCTCAGGCCCCCCGACATGCTCCATCGTCACATGGGTGACCAGTTCGTGCATGGTGCTGAATGTCCGGTCGCAGCTCTTTTTGGGGCGGTTGATCTGGCTCTCCTCGACCCACTTGCAGGACAGCTCTTGCTTGATGGGCTGGCGCATGTAGCGGAAGAAAGCCCCCGGGCCGTGGTGGTGATGGGCCGCCACGTTCATGCCCATATTCATGTTCATGGGGTTGTAGTTGTGGAACTGGGCGCCGGCGTACGGGTCCGTGCGGGGGCTGGAGACGGCCCGGTAAGGGTCCGGCCGGCCGAAGAGATCCCCCCGCAGCCCCAGGTGCATCTGCCCGTTCTCCACGTGCCCGCCGGGGGAGGGGTGGCTGGAGCTCTGCTCGTGCAGCCCCGGGAAGAGCAGGTAGCCCGGGCTCTCCGCGATGCCCGGCGGCCCGTGCAGGCTGCCGGGGGAGCCGCCGAAGATGCCGTGCTGGGCGCCGCCGGAGGCGGGCTCCCCCAGGCCGGAGCCCCGCTGGCGGAAGAGAAAGTCCCGCGTGGAGTTGAAGGCGGCAGTCGCGCCCCCGTAGGCGGGCACCTGGCCGGCGTGGTGGTGGTGATGGTGGTGGTGGTGGTGGTGCCCCAGCGCGTTGGCATAGCCCGAGCCCTGCGGGGTGAACGCCGAGCTCTGGCCGGACGAGAGCTCGTGGGCGGCCGGGCTGAGCTTAAAGGCCGCCGCGTGCGAGGCGTCCCCGAAGGGGCTCAGCCCCATCCCGGCGGCGGCGGGGTCGCGGCCGGGCCCCTCGTGGTGGCGAGGGGCCCCGAAGCCCCCGACTCCCAGGGCGGGGAACTGCGGGCCGCCGTCCAGCAGCATGGTCATGGGGGAGGGCGGGCGGGCGGGCGCCCGAGGGAGGGTCCCCCCAAAACAATGGGCCAGGCGCGGGGGGACGAGTTCATGCACCGCGGGCGGGCGGGCGAGACACAACCCCACGCGCGCCCGGCTGGGGGCTGCCAAGCGCCGCGCCCCCTCCCCCCCTCCCGGCCCAGCCCCGGGCAGCGCACCCCAGCCCGGCTCCCCGGCTCCGAGTCCGGCCCCTCCGCTCCCACCCGGCAGTGTCCTTGGACTGATACACTCAACCGCGCACTCCCCGCACATAAACCAACTCGGGAGGCAGCCCGCGCCCAGCCAATGGGGAGCCGGCTGCCAAGGCGTCACCTGACCCCCGCCCGGCCAGCCCATTGGCCGCGCCGCGCGTGAGTGGCAGAGTGGCACATGGAGTCTGGCAGCTCGCGGCCCGGCCCGGCGCGCTGATTGGCCCGCGCGGGTTTAGTGACTCGCAGGTGAGGTTAAAGGGTGCCCGCGAGCCCACATGTTTTGTTTACTTGCCCTGCTCCGGGGGCGCGCGGGAGCGGCTGGGGCTGGGAGCGCATCAAACGGGTCCTGGGCTCGGTCCCTCCCGGCTTCTCCCCCATCCCGGGCTGGCCTCCCTTTCTCCTCCTCCAGCTCGATGTCCTTCCAGGCAATATTCCCCCCCAGCGCCCGCTCCCCATCGGTCCTCCCCGGCTGCGTCCACCCGGGTTTTAAATCGTCCCGGCTGTTGTTGTTTTTTAAAGAAACAAATAAAACAAAACAAAAAAACCTGGGGAGCCGCTAACGGGCCCAAGGAGAGATCAAAAGACACAGCGAGCCACGGGATACCCGCCTTTCGCGGCTGTAGCCCTTCGCTTGTGAGATCCATCTGCTGGAAAACGGCACCTTGATTGGAAGTCGTAAATCTTCCCTGCTATTAAAAAGAAAAGATTTAAAAACGAATAAAAATTAAGGCGGCATAAATCAGAGCTGCTCGCCAAACGTTCGCGTGGTTTCTTTTCCCGGGGGGGGGGGGATCGACCAGCCTTTAAAGCGATGATATTTAGGTGCAACATTGGGTGGGCCTTGCTTATTTTAGCCGCCACACGCCGTTTCTTTTTCCCCACAAGAAGATGAAGGAAATAAAAAAAAACTAGAGATTATTTCAAATCTGGGGCTGAACAAGATAAAGGGCATAAACCCCTCATGTTCCCAAGCTTAAATGCCGTGAGTTTTAGCTCCACGAATAGCGTAAATTATTCGCTTTTATCACTCTATAAATTGCTCTAGAGACGTGGACCAAAGTCTCAATCAAAGGTGCCTTTTTGGGTTGATTTTATTGTATTTGTTTATTGATGGATTGTATTATTATTTCGCAGTTGCAACGTTCTGCCTTGAAATAATTATCAGCTGCAGACAGCCCCATAAATCCGCTCATTTTCTGTTCTGGAAAGCATTTGCAAAGAACTATGGGGAGCAAGAGTGGGAATAAAAGGCAGAAAGAAAGATGGCTGTAATTGTAATATCCTGAGATTTGCTGAGCCCCAAAGTCTGTCTATTGAGCTAGTCTCACAGGATTGCCGCCGTCTCTCTGCAGGAAACATAAAATCTGATCAAGTTCAGAGACGCATTGAGAGACTGCTTCAAGCAGCGCTTTATAACTGCAGCCCTTTCACATCCTTCCCCCCAATCAGCCCCAGGAAAGACTTCACATTCTTTATTTTAGGGTTTGAAAAAAAAAACCACCGATATAAAATCTCCCTCAGTAGTAACACCATCTCCCATCAAACCAATCAAAATTCACACTCCACATCCATCAAGAACATTCCCAAAGTTGGAAGGTGAGTCACTTCTGTCTTAGATTATTGCATCTAGAAAAAAAACAAACAAACAATCAACCCCTCTTGCAATAGAAAAATAGTAGATTTAATGCAGATTTGGAGGGAGGAGAGACGGGGTTCTGGCTCGGAGGGGACCGTTTGCTTCGGGTTTTGTTTCACACACACAAACACTCTCACACAGACAACAACAGGGAGGAATTTGCCTAAACGGGGCAAATTAAACTCTGAGAATGAGTGTTAGGAAATAAAATGAACAAGGCAGGATTTCAAAGCTAGGAGACTAGGCAGTGGTTGTTCTTTGTTCGGTGTGGTGTGTGTGTATATCTGAGAATATGCTTGAGGACTCTGATGCGGTGGGGGGGTGAAAGGAAGTGTGCTAAACTCAGGCCCAAAGCAGTAACCTGCTCGCTGTTTTCTGATGGTCCATATCCCGTGCCCCGGGACTCCGACATCACTGCAGTGTCGCTCAAGTTTGTCTAACTCTCCCCTTTCCGTGTTTTATTGCACACTGCAAACCAAAGCGGGCTTTCCAAGTGCTGTACCTGGTCTGTGTGTCGGCCTAGCAAGGGCCCAGATCGGATAATTAATTACCTCCAGCACGTGTTGTGTTGTCTCTGTAACAAAAAGGCATAATTCAATTAGATCATCAACCGAGTGTTGGGTAGAGAAATGCCTGTGAAGTTCCCGACCTGGGGCAACCGAGGGCGAATGACCTTTGCTTTTGCAGAAGGCCTCACGTGTAGTTCTGTTCATTGTCTTTAGCCTGAATATGATGTAAAGCAACTTCCAGGCGCTCTGCGGCTCAAAACGCAAACCCAAGGCGATCTCTGTCATCGGAGGGGATTTGTTGTTTGTTTGTTGGTTTCTCTTTTGACCCAGGTGCTCTGAAAGGGTGCATGAGAAAATTTATCCGGATGTGAGCGGCTTGCTGGCCGCTTAACATTCATTAAATAAATAACTCAGCAAAGAAAGTGAAGTTCAGAGTCTAGTCCCTTTTGCCAGACAGCCAAGGGTTTTTTTCGGGAATCTTTCAACACGGTGGAGAAGGAGGGAAGCAAACTTGGATTTACACAGAAAAAGCTAGGGTGGGTGAGGGAGGTTTTGCATATAAAAATATTTGCTCTTTAGTGGTAAAAGCACCACTTTTTCTCAAGAGAAGCAACCCGAGCGGGAAAAGAAACCGTAGCTTTAAACGAGCTCCGATTCGCCATTCCTGAAACGACTTTATTGGGTAGCAGAAGGCAACATTAGCAGCACTGACATACTGGAGTCTACTTGTGGATCAGGCTACATAAATTAGCCTATAAATCTTTGTTTTATACGTTTACCAGGTCTACTCTGCCGGGTCTGTGCGTGTGTGTGTGGAATAATGTTTGTATATAAAAGATTGTAGAGGTGCTTGTTTTTATTTTGAATTAGGAAACTAAACAGTAATTGCATTCATGAAATAGGAAAGTGCATTCTCCTCTGTTTTTCCTTTTTGCATCATTCTAAACCAACATGACTGGGTCCCCTGTCCCCCCCAAGTTCACTACATCTTGGTTTTGATTCAGTGCAGTATATAACCAGTCCAAGATTCCTTGTGTTTATTTCGCAGAGACAGAGAGGTCAAACATCTCTCACCTTTAAATCCATTAAATATAAAACATGCAAAAAAATGATATAGCGTTGCTGAATCGTCATCCGGCGGTTTTAGTCTGCCTGGGTAGAGTAGGCGGAGATCCCTCTTCCAGTTTTACGTCAAACGCATACTTGTGCAATTTGCTTCTTTTTTAGTTTGTTTTATTTTAAAATCTGGATTGGGTTTGGAATTGGACACCCACAAAACCCGAAAGACCTTTTCAGGCAGCAAGCACCTTCCCTTCCTGCTTCATTTCAATACGGGATTCTTTGGTTAGCCAAAGAGGGAGGGGGGTTATAGAGTGAAGAAGCCATTTGCTGTGCCCAGGGCCTTTGCGAAACCCTCCTACCCTCGGACAAACCGCTCCCCTCGCTTTACAACGCACATCAGAGCCAGGATCATTTGTATGTGCGTGAAACTGACAAAAAAAGGGCGTTTTCTTGACTGTAAATCTCATTTTACCGCCCTTCCTCCAGCAAAACTCCCAGTCAAGTCTCTGGTCCTATTGCCAGAGTGAAAACTGCGAGACTGGGCCCTAGATACTCCCCACAGAAATGTCAGACAAGAGGCACATTTCCCAAAGTCATTTCTTTCCCATTAAAGATAATGTATCTATGGGGCTTTCCAGGTGAAATTTCTGTATTGATCTCCCATCTGCTCTGTGCCTGCTGAAAAGCGAATAGCTGGGTTGTACGGGAAGTTTTTTGATGGCCGTATAAAGAGTTTTTGTTTTCAAACTGCAGCCCAGATAGAAAGGCAAATATTTTATGAGCGCTAAATTCCTTTTACAAGTCAGTGTATCATAGACAAATGGATCTCACTAATAAGCGGAAAGGAATGTAGTTTTTCTTTTGCCATAACCATATTGCAATTCCAGTGTAATTAAATGCAAACCAGAAGCGAATGAGACATTTTCATTGTAACTGTCAATCAGTCGAGGGGTAATCACATGTACATTTGAACTTCAGAGATACCGGCTGAAGTAAACAGGTCTGAACTTCGACAAAGAAAGGGGTTCAGAAAATCAAAGTGCAGAGAGAGGCAGGAAGAAACACTTTAATGTATCGAAAATGGGGGTGAAAAACATGAGCTGTGTTTATAAAAAATAGCAATGTGTAGGACCTCGCCCGCTCTCTCCGCGTACCGTAATGAATGAATTAAATGTAACAAATGCATGGGATGAATTGTATGCTAGATCCTAGATAATCAAAAGCAATAAAAGGTAAGCAAATATCTCCAATAAGCACACAGAGCTCGCGAAACTGCCAGAGTGATGATTTGGAATAATATCAGGGAAATACTGTAAATAAAAGGAGCGGAATTCTTGTTTGACTGCAATCTCTTTTCCTGTATTTGGCTTCTGGGCGAAGTTTAGGTTCTGTTTTAATCCAGGCAGGAGCAAAAACCAGGTTAAAATAACTGATGGTTCTGCTGGGTTGCAAAAACTGAGGGGCGTTTTTCAATTATTCTTAATACTAAAATAAATGCATAGATAAAACAAAGGGTTCTTCTCTTTCCAAAGCACAAACAATTCATGGCAGACAGTCAGAGAACCTTGGAGCGCAGTTTCTCTCTCCTAGCTACAGAGGCAAAACACCACTAAATGTGAGGTGGACGCATTTACCGTATTTGTGCTTACGGTGGAATATGCCAGGGGACCATAACATGGAGACGGTAATTAATTTCTGAATACAAAGTTGTTCGGGCCCACCATAGTCACTCCGTTCTGCAAGATGTGGTGCCCTCTGTGGATTCGCATCTTCCTTATACGTGTGTGTGTAAAAATGCAAATTAAAAACCTCTAAGCGGTTGATTCAGACAGCTTAG